ATATATAGTGTCCAGGAGTCCTTTTTACCAGTTGTGTCCTTTCCTGAGAGAGAAAAAAAGTCATACTCTCCTCTTTTTTCATGTCCTTCTATCTACCTACTCAATAAGCCTGTTTTAAGACACTCCATAAATTTGAATTGATTCACAATTGGGATCTTCTGACTGGACTTGCTAGATTGGGTCACTTTACTTCAACTCTTTACCAACTGCTACTGATTACTAATTTGCTTCCAGGATTAATTCAAAATACTGGGTTTGACTTTTAAAACTCTGAACAGGGTGGGGCAAAAATATCTCACTGACCTATAGTATTATAAGTCTACCTAAAAAGAGTTGTTTTATCTGATTGTTTGGTGTAATTAATTATATTATTTTCAAGTGCTATGTAGAAAGATAGAAATATTAGACCTTAAAGGAGGGCTAAAGTACACCTTCTGAATGTTATCTCATTAAAAATGTTCCAGACCCTTTTGCCTAGGCAACAGTTATTGCATATATCCATCAAGATCATACAGGTAGTCCTTGCTTACCAACTGCCTCGTTTAGCAACCATTTGAAGTTACAACGGTATTTAAAAAAAAGCTTTGTGACCAGTTCTCGCATTTATGACTGTTGCAGAATCCCATGATCACATAATGCTATTCGGCAGCTTTGCAACTGGTACACATTTACAACCGCCACAGCGTTCTGCGGTCACGTGATTGCCATTCGCTTGCTTCTCAACTGCCTTGCAACAAGCAGAGTTAATGGAGAATGCAGAAGTAAAATTGTAATTTGCGATCACGTGATGTTTCACATAACAACCATGGCAATTCACTGAATGACCAAATTGGAAGTGATATTGTAAGCCCATCACAGTCACATGATGTTTTGCTTAGTGTCCGCAGCACTTTGCAGTGGAGATGCCAGTCCAAATTGTGGTCATTCAGTGAGGACTACCTGTATTCACATTCCTTACTTATACTTCCTAACCTCCTCTTCCCTGCAGTGAAACTGGCTAATGAGTCTCTCTGAGACTCTTGCTTTCTTGATTATGAGCTACTGTTAGGAGCTTGACAACAAGTAAGATTCCTAAATTCATTCACTGGTTTTTAAACTGTAGAGATTATTCAGATGAATATTTGCATAGGATGTACCAAACAGTTCACAGTCAGTTGCCAAGCCTATAGTAGGCTATATTGATTTCTCACAAACAACATTTTCAGACAACTGGTAGTAGAAAAGCCCAACCATCAGGGAATTGTAGCCCAGATTTGATCTTGCCATTTATTCTCCACTACCATCAGAAATGTTGTCAATGGAACTATTATTCCAGTAGTTCAGGGGTTCCAGCTCCTTAATAAAACAGAAGTAGAATAAGCCCTGTCAAGAAGGAAAAGACCAAGAAGTGTTGTATCTCTCAGTTCATGAAAGGGACATGTGCAAAACTAATATGCCACCCAGAGTCACCCGTATGCTGCCCAGAGTCACCCGTTGGGGGGAGATTGGTGGCATACAAATTTAATAATAAATAAATAAATAAGTATAAATTCTAGAAATCATATCCTTGAGGCTTTCAGACTCAACACTGGAGACTGTCTCCAGCATAAAAACAGGATATAAGGGGATCCTTAACTTGCATTTGTATCAAACACAAGACTGAAAGTTTGTTGGATAGAATGGCCAGCAAGAGATATGGATATTCCTGCATATCAAATCTGTGCTTCTGCTATGTTGACATATTTAGCAAACATATTTGGGAGATTCATTTTTTGCAATGCATTTATGTATGTCTTTGTAATATGTGACAGAACAGGATATTTTTTATCCAAGATCAAGTTCTGGATAGCTGATATTTTCCAGAAATCTGTTAGTCAGCCAAAGTACCTTCAAGGCAAAAAGTTTCAGTGTAACATCTTAGTTGGGAAAAGTAGTAAAATGGGGAATACCTATGAAATATTTAATCTTTATTTCTCTTAACTCATGTATTGCGTTTGCACAGCCTAGGACATGAAAAACTGTGGTTCTAAAGCTGTTCTGATATTTCAGTTATCCTTCAACTCAATTGCTCAGACATATAGTATAGAAACTGGTAAATTTTCATTGCTTTAGAAGTGGGTAAGCATAAGAAATCACTGATTAGTTGACTGGTTCTGGAGTAAAAGAAAAAGGCAATTCCACAAATAAATCTGCATCTGGCGAGTAAAGATTTTCAAGTATGCTAGGATATAACCTGTTATTTAAATGAAATATAAAGAATGCTGTAAATATGAAGAATGCTGTAAATATGCTTTATTTATTTAGATTATTTATATGGCTGCCCAGTTTGAAAATAATGATTCTGGGAAGCTTAAATATGATTAAGAACAGAGAAACCAGTAACAAAAGGCACAAAGTACCACAATATAGAATAACTAGGTCAAACCAAACATTCCAATTCAAAATCATTTCAGGACAGGGTGATCCAGGAGGGACATTTACCTAATACACAGGTGGGCATATAACTCTGAGGACCCTGTTTACTTGCTCAGGACCTTCAGGTTTGAACTCTTCCCAGGTAATCACAGTAGACTGTGCCTCAGTTACTTCCAAAGGACTTGCACAGTGGATTCTACTCAGAACAATTCTGAATGAGTTTGAGACAAATCCTAAGAACAGTTTTCAGAGTAGGCTTGCAGATATTCCTCTGGCCCCTCCTTCCCCAGGAGGGATTAGGGCACCCTAAATATGGTTGCTAGACAGCTATCTATGATGCAATAAGAGTGGGAAAATACTTACATTTTGTCATTATTATCACTACAAGGTAATCCTTAAGAAAGGCTCTTACCCATGCTGAATTGGATTCACTCTTCATTTTCCTCCAGTAGCACTTTAGGTATCTCTTCTGTTTCATCTCCTGGAGTTCCTCTGAAAACCAGGGAACTCTCCGGGATTAATGAGCGGAGAAGAGAGCATTTGCATAGCTGCAATCTGATCCAAGTCTTTTGCCACCCTGTCATTCCAGGAAGTGACCACCTTAGCTAATTTCTGAATAATACGTTCAGACAATGAGTCCTGCCACACAACAACCAGTTGGGAACATAAACCATTCCCCAAAATCTGTTGGGTATATAGACTTTTTCCAGTAGGAGGAAATCCTGCTTATCCTACAAAACAATTTCATTCTGAGCACTTTGAAAATCATGTTTCTGATCCTTTTTAAACTGTGTATCATGGGCAACCAACAAGAAGTATCCCTCCAATAGACAGGCAAAAGTCATAAGTATTATGCAGTCAGGCATGTTGCTCCCCTGTGTTATAGGGACCTAAAAAATTATTTTCTGGGGGGCTTGTTTGTGATATTCTCTGACATGTTGCCACTGCTTTGCTGCTATTCCTGTGAGCACCAAGAAAGCTTACAATATTAAAAATAGCATTTTTGCCATGTGGGACAGTGCTCATTAATGCAAGGGTAGATGACATGGTGCCCATATACCTCAGTGCCCCTCCAGATCACTTCTTTCGGTGTCCATCAATCTTTCTGTTTCACTAATTACTTAAATATATTTTAATTAGTAATATTAAATATAAAGCTTGTATGCTAGAAAGAACACCAGCCTATAGCACATTTTTGGGCTTCACAAAGGTCCCACTTGGTGACAGAATCCTGAGAGGCTAGTTTGCCTTGTTTGAATTTATGCCACACCCATCATGGCAATTATTTTTTGAATAGGCAGTTCAAAATGGTGTGGTATCCATTTTGTTAATGTATTTATCATATATTGTCAAAATTCCAAATATGTTCTTGGCCCAAAAAAGATGTCTACCCCAAGATTTATACCTAGATTGATGATGATAATGATGATATGATGGTGGTGGTGGTGGTGATGTGCCATCAAGTTGGTGTTGACTCTTAACGACCACATAGATAGATTTTCTCCAGGATGACTTCTCCTCAAGATCTTGCAATGTTGCACCAATCTGTCACTGTAATTGAGTCCAACCACCTTGTTGCTGGTCATCCTCTTTTTCTCTTTTCTTCCACCTAGAAGGAAATACCTAGAACTAATTGGACAAGTATCAGCATATATTTCCTATTATGCTTTCAAAAATGTAATTAGATTAGACAGGTTTGATGTAGTTTCTTGTTAGATTTCTAATTACTATAGTTTCCTGAACTGTTGGAACCTATTTTTGCATACAAGAAACACAGAAAAAATTAGAAGAACAATTGATATCTTTCACATGTCTTCTGCCCCATCAAGTGTCCTCTAAAAAAATTGGGTGTATAGCTGATTCCTGATTCAATCTATTAATACAGTAAATTTTACAGATCCCCATTTTGTAGACTTCAGATCCAGTAGTCAAAACTTCTGTACGCTATCCCCCTAAAAGACAAATGTGTTGCAGCTGAACTCCCAAAAAGGAACTTACATTTATGTTAAATTATGTTATGTTAAAATAATTTATTCCATAATTTGTAATAATAAATGCCATAAAACTTCATGAATGTTATAATTTGTGATCATTTGCATAATGATGTCTTTATACAAATTATTATTATTAGATTTTTATCTTGCCTTTTTTATATATAGCTCAAGATGGCGAACATATCTAATACTCCTGCTTCCTAATTTCCCCACAACAACAACCCTGTGAGGTGGGCTGGGCAGAGAGAGAATTATTGGCCCAAAGTCACTAAGCTGGCTTGTATACCTAAGGGAAGCCAAGAACTCACAGTCTCCTGGTTTCTAGCCTGGCACCTTAACCAGTACACCACATGGCTCTCTAATGACCTAAGTTGTCACAAATAATGTACTTTTAGATTTCATGGAGATTCAGAAGTAACCGAATCTCCTTAACGATTTGTTAAGATTTTGAGGTCTTCCTGTGTATATATTATCTTTAATTTGAGGTTTTCCTGTATTGTTTTCATGTATAATAGTGAGAGTTCACTTAGTAACATGCTTTTATAAGGGAAATAAATAAATATTTAACTGAGAAGAACAAACTACATTTAAAACCAAAATTAGTTTTGAGATGTGATTAAGATTCCTGTGGTCATGAATTATTTTTTTAATCATTGTATATGCAATTTAAAAAGCATATACATGCATTAACTTTTTCTCTCAGAAATGTATAATCGTTAATGTTTGCTCCCACTGAGTTGATAATGTGTAATATATTCTGAATATTGTGTAATATATTCTGAATATTTTAAAAACTTCAACTATGCCATAGAACCTCTTTACTTCACACTTCCGAGAAGATTAAAGCAGTGTATGTGAATTTCTCTGTATTGAATTTTAAAATGATCTTGGGTATAAATTTGATGGTTACTGGCCCTTTGTGCAGTTGATTGTTATTGTTACATTTTTTACTCACTTTAATATGACTGAAGGCAACATAATGTAGTGTTCTCATTTAGAAACAGAAGAGATCCAGAATGACACATACATGTTATATTTAGTTTCATATTCTTATTAAGTATCAAATATTTGTTGTACAATGCTTTTAGCTAATATTTACTCAACAGTTTGCAGAACTTTAAAGAGTGAATTAATTTGACCTTTCTTTCTTTGAATCTAGATTATTTTATATTGGGATTTAGGTTTAATTTTAATAAATTATAATTTGCATTTTGGATTTAATAAAATTATTTTTATGAAACAAACTATAAAGCACATTTTATAATATTGTTATGATTAAGCAAGTATGTTATAGTGGTTAAAATGTTGGATTAGGCCCATGGAAATCCAGGTGCAAGTCAACCTTCAGGTATGAAAATTCACTGGAACAATTTGGGCCTGTCACTATCATTCAGCCTATCTCCCAGGGGTATCGTGGAGAAAAAATGCATGAGGGGATGCTATATATTCCATCTTTTGTCCTTGGAGAACTAAAAGAATAAATCTAACATTGTATTTTGTTATAGAACAATCTCAGCCCTCTAATGCAGCTATTTCATATTGGTGGTCCTTTAGGGCCCTTCTCCAGTTTTTAAAAATGAAAGTAAATATGAGTGGATACAGCTATGCGTGCCTCTGTATACTTAGAACTTTATGTGATGTACCAAAGGAAAAATTCTCATCTGGATGTTCTGGTAGAAGTGTGGTCTAGCTAAGTGCGTGCATGTTTGAAAACCCACTTTTCTTCCACCTCATCCTCCCCTCTCCCAAATTAGCAAAATATAGTGAATATACATACAGTCAGTGAAAAGCAGTAAAGTTTTTTGGAATAAAATCAAAGCAGGCATAGGTAGTCCTCGATTTATTACCACAACTGGGACTGACACTGCCATTGCTAAGCAATGAGGTTGTTAAATGAGTCACACCCAATTTTACAACCTTTTTTGCTGTGGTCGTTAAATGAATCACATGGTTGTTAAGCAAATCCAGCTTCCCCCATTGACTTTGCTTGTCATAAGCCCCCTGGGAAGGTCGCAAATGGCAATCACGTGACCCTGGGACGCTGCAAACTTGGAAAATATATGCTGGTTGCCAAGCACCCGAATTTTGATCATGTGACCATGGGGGTGCTGTGATGGTCATAAGTGTGAGGACTGGTTGTAAGTCACTTTTTCACTGCCATTGTAACTTTGAATGGTTGCTAAACGAATGAGCATAAGTCGAGGACTACTTGTAGTTACTGAGCCAATCAACATTGGAAAAGGTGTATCAATTTATAAATAACAGAAAACTAGCACCAGTTAAAATTACAACTTTCATGTAAAGCAATACTAAAGTGGAGCACTAAAAAAAAAAAATATGATTAAGTGTGCTCCCCCCACTATTGTATAGGTGTTATACATCACCTATATTTATTTGATATCACCAGTGTGTTTAATACAAGTAGGAATTATTCTAGAGTTTGTTAGGCATTTTGAAATGACACTATAGAGGTTGTAGATAGATGCTAAGAAATAACCAAAATATGGTGTGTAGTATATCTATCTTGTATGCCACGCTTCTTTCCTCTTGCTCTTCTCCATCCCTTTTCTCCCATGTCTTCTTCATTCTATAGATTCAGATCCAGGACATACAAATGAAAACTGGGGGGAGAGATTAATACCTTCTTACAGGACATATTCAGGTAAATGGATTATCAGGTGTACTTATTATAGTTGCTTATTTACATTTGTTAATGTCATCACAGTAGTTGTTCATTTTTTGTGCTAGTGAACTACCTGCAAATAACTTCCTTATTAATATAAATGTAACATACTACTTTTCATTGGAAAATTAAAAGTGCTAATTAAACTTGTAGTGTAGTGTATTTCCATTCCAGTGAAAATTGTTTACACCTGTGGAGGAAAATGGCGGTTACCATGAAGTAACCACTAATTTATTAGCAAAAACAGTTTTGATTCTAAATACAATTGCACCATGGATAGGTTAAATAGTAAAAGTGATTCACATCTAGAACAATATATTTATTGATGGGAGTGAAGCAGGAGATTTACTTTCACATCTAAAACTTTACATATCAGCTAAGGAAGAAACGGATGGGAACAATATCAATCTAGCAGATCTTTTTTCTTTAACTTTTCTCTTGTTGTATGCACTGGCGAGGACTGAGTATTTGCCACACTAACTCCAGGCTAATGTAATTGAGAGGTCCAGTCCTAGCACCTAAGGAATTGGGAGGCAGGGTGGGGAATGTGATGGCTTGGGATTAGTTGCCTGTAGTACACCCTGTTTCTGCATACTAAAGCTCAACCAGTAGACCTTTCGTCAGGCAGAATTGGACCACTAGGGTGGAAAGAGTCACTGTGTGATGAAACTCTTCCACTGGCAAAAGACACTTCTGAGAGCTAGGATTCTGAGCTGTCTTTGGGCATTTGGACTGGTCTGTAAAATAATTGTCAAAGTGTTCCTAATGCTTCTGTTGCTAGATAGGTTTTCTGCAAGTGTAATATAGACAATATATTTATACAAGGCGAATATATTTCTTAGAAAATAGTTTACAAATGATAAGTCATGCCAGACAAGCTTGACCTCCCTCTTTTATTAGAACTACAAAAGCAGCTATTCAGTCTAACCATGGCAAGTCTACTTTTTATTCATAGCTGATGTCAAACTAATACAGTGATAATAAATAAGTTAAAGGTATAAATAACTCTAGCATGGATGTTTGATATATAATTTATTTGCAGAAAAAATAAAATGAAAATTCTGTTACTAAATGTAGCTTGAAAGGCAATATATGGGGGGGGGGGGAAACCCTAATTGTAGCAACAATTTTCAGGTTGCAAAAGTTAAAGATAATAATAGAAAAGCTCAATAACGAACAATAATTGTATATGTTACCTTTTTAAAAATAAAAATTCTAACTTTTTTTACTGAAGAATTCCATTTGCCTATGTAATGCGTCATTGTAAGCTTTTTTCCTATTACATTTGCTAGCAAAACTGCACACAAAGTATCTTTTTACTTTTGGGTGCCTCTGTGTGTGTTTAGTGAATGGGGGAAGAGACTTCAGGATTTCTCAGATGTAATTATCAAGGCTTGAAGGCAAATATGTAGGCCAGTAAAGGGTGAGAACTTAAATTATGTGGCTGTAAGAACAATTGCTGATTAAAATAGGTGCAAGAAAAAGCTGGGAAGCTGTTGATTGATGCATATTAACCCCTACCTCATTTCACCTTTAGAACAAACATGGTTTCCCATCACCAGTAGTCTCCTGATTGCATGTATATCCCTTGAGTGCACCTGATCCAACAACATGAAAATTACTGATTTATCATGAAGGGATATCAGAGACAAAATAGTCATAATTGGGAACTCAACCTGCTGTCCTATACATCATAATAAATCGGAATAAATCCTGCTGACATATTTGTGAAGAGTTATGTGTGTAATTGAATCCTAATGCTCTTGAATATATGGTCATATTACTAACAGTATATTTTTCTTCATTTTATAATGTTGATCCCCAGAAAAAATATCATAAATATAGAAAATCATCAATATGCTTACTTATTTATGAAATGTGTTACAAATTATGATTATTATGGCAAAAGTACAGTTAAGGAAATTCAATTATAAAAATAATCATTTTTCTTTATGAATTTTCTATGAAAATTATATTTATTCAGGATAAGGAAATAGAAAATTAGTATCCTGCTGTATTATTTTGAAGATTTTGTATCACATGATATAAGACATATCATCAAGCTAAATCCAATGGTTGAATGACCCAACATAGATCAAGTAAAATACTTATAAAATATGGCATTATGCTTAAAATGGTATAGGAAGGAAATTTTGAAGTCTTACTTTTCCATATTCCCATCTTCCCCATTTTTTTCTTCCTAGCTGTTTTTGCTAATGGGGGGAAGTATTATTTCAAATCATGGTGTTCCATCATGAAAAAAAAAGGTGAAATAGTTTTTAAAAAGCATATATTATGAAGAAACAGTTCAGTACCAGTCTCCCAGCTATACTTCATCCATTCTTTAGGAGTTCATGTTGATAAAATATGCTTTTACCACTTCTACTTTATAACCCTCATATGCATGGGGTAAGCTTAGATGTACAGTATTGACTAAATCAGTGCCCTAGAGTAAAAAGTGTTACTTATCATGTATTTGAATCTGACTCTCTGAAGTCTATGGTCAGCACTCTAGGTGCTTCACATTTACTCAGTTTGGAAAGCCAGACTTGTAGAGAGAATATTTAATGCTCTTGGATTTCCACCAGCATGAGGAACTCATTTAATAACTTTAGGGAGTTATTTCTCCAATTTCAATCTTCGTTTGTTTTATTTATAATCTGCTATAATTGGGAATATTTTGCTGCTCTTATGAGTCTACTGGTATTTCCAGAGAAAGAAGTCCCAGAAAAGAAGAAAATGAAAAAGGAAGCTGGAAATAAAAAAACAGCACCTGTTAGCATTCTTTTTGGTTACCCGCTATCAGAACGTAAACAGATGGCCCTTCTTATGCAGATGACTGCAAGAGACAACAGCCCAGGTAATAGCAGAACTGTTTCCCTTTGTATATGTATCTAATCAAAGGCATGTAGAGGATAAGTTAACATGGCAGGAGGTTTGGATTTTCATTGAAACTGTAGGATGGGAAAAGGAGTATTAATTCACCACTTTATTCATGAATCTATTCCTGATTTGGGATGGGTGGGAGGATAAGTCAACTGCATTTTAAAAACATCACTTGTATTCTTACAATTAATGTAACATGATTAATCCAGAGATGCACTTTATAACAAAAAGTTTTACTAAGCTACTGTTACATGTATTCTAAATATACATACATGGGATTGATTTATGAATTAACTATTTCTAATAGTTGCAGAGTAAAGTATTCAAGTCATGGCTTCATATTTTGAATTTGGTAATATTACCTTGCAGATTTATTTTCCTTCCAAGTGAGGCTATCTTAAATATAGTAATCTTGAAAAATTTTCAGAGTTTTGTTTAAAAGTAACATTAAAATTTAATCTACCAGGTAATAACAGAAATGCAGTTTATTTTGATCATAAACTATTTACAAAGATTACATTCTGTTTGGTCCAACAGCAATTAATATTAAACAGTTTAGATTCAGTTGTGTTGTTTTCTATTTAATTAACTGTATTCCTTCTATTTTAATGTATATCAGTGACTCACAACACTTTTGTTTTTAAAGTTGAGAAAATGAAACAATGCCAGCATTATAATTTTATTCACTTAATAAGGTTAATTGATAAGCATTAAAACTATGCTAGGAATCAATAACTATGCATTTTTGCATATACTTGACTTGTCTGTCATGGTCTGAATCTGATTTGTGTTCTTTGACAGTTTGTGTATAAAAATGGGATAGAGAGATACCAGGCATCTCCCTCCCCTCCCTCCCCCCCCCTTTTTTTTTTTGTTGGTACCTTTGAGTCAGTCTTGACTCCTGGCAATTGCCTGGAGTCCCTGCAGTGTTTTTGGCAAGCTTTCAGAAGTGGTTTGCCATTGCCTGCTTCCTAAGGCTGAGAGAGAGTGACTGGCCAAGGTCACCCAGCTGGCTTTGTGCCTAAAGTGGGACTAGAACTCATGGTTTCCCAGTTTCTAGTCTGATGCCTTCATCACTATACCAAACTGGCTCTCTTTACAGAGAGAGAGAGAGAAAAAATGAGAATGGGAAAGTGTGTACAGAATGAATGAGGAGTATAGTATGTATTTACATATCTGAATAAATGATTGAGTTAACATTCCCCTTTGCAAATTTTTTACTGATTTCATACTTTGAACTTTGTTTTGTAGATCCTAATTTAAATCATCCTTTACAAACAGTGCCAACACAAAAGAAAACTCCAAGCTCCTCATCACGCCAAAAAGATAAAGTTAACAAAAGAAATGAACGAGGGGAAACTCCCTTACATACAGCTGCCATTAGAGGTGATGTTAAACAAGTTAAAGAATTAATTAGTCTAGGTGCAAATGTGAACGTGAAAGATTTTGCAGGTAAGTTTGATAAGCAGTCCATTTTTAAGACTATTTAATGTATTTTACAATTACTAAAATTATTGATCCCTTATCAAATATAAAACTAAGTTCCAAATTTAAGGTTCATTTACAATACAGATAGTCCCTTGCTTATGAACAGGTTATGTTCCAAGAGGCTATTCATAAGTCTGTTTTGTTCGTAAGTCCAACCAAGTAAAAAGTAAAAAAAAAAGAGGCAGGAGGCAGGGCAGTGATGTGGGCAGAGGAGCCCTATTTTCTGCTGCCAATGTGTCGCCAGGTGAGGCAGGAGAGGGGGTGGTAGCAGAGGAGAGGGGATAGAGGCATGCCGCAAACTAACCCTTTCCTGCCTTCTCCCACCTTCCAGGAAGTTGGAGGTTTGCATTGGAGTTGGAGTTCCCAGAAAGGGTTAGTTTACATGGCGTGCTCTGTTGCCGGGTGAGGCAGGAGAGGCGGTGGTGGCTCCTTGGGCGAAGGATGAGCTGGTGGGGCGCGGCGCGCTCCATTGCCGGGTAAAGCAGGAGACCTCCACCCCATTCCTCTGTCCTATGCCACCACCCCCCTCTCCTGCCTCACCTGGCGACGGAGTGCGACGCATAAACTAATCCTTTCTGGGAACTCCAACTCCAGTGCAAACAGAAGGCGGGAAAGGGTTAGATTGTGGTGTGCTACAACCTTTTTCCTCCTTCTCCTGACTTCTGGTTACAACTCCCAGCCTAACCTCCAGTTCTGACTTCCGGGTCCATCTTGTTCATATCGGTGAAAGTTCGCAGCGTGAAAGTTCACAAGTAGTGGACTATACACATTTAAAAAAAACAGTGAATTTGCGTATTTAGAGTTTCACAAAGTGACCATTGATAGAGTGCTGTTTTACATCAGTGTTTTGGCTTGTTGTAAGATACTTTCTGTGCAGTGTTTTTAAAACCTATTCACAGTAGTAAATAACTACTTTTCCACAACTGCCATCTTAGCTATTATTCTCTTCTCTGGTGGGCCCTTCGTCTTCCAAAAGTGCAGAGAACTGTAACTGAGAATGAGGAATTGGTAATACAGGTAGGTCACACTTAGTGTGAGTTCAAATAACATGATATTCAATTTAGTGTGATTTATAAATTGATACCAGGTCACATTTAATGCGAGCCAAAATTCAGTCAGTGCAAAGCTAGTACATCTGCAGGTGAAGATAGTGCATGCACAGTTGCCGCTGGAGTTTAGACGCTAATCATTGTGTATGCAAAATGGAGAAAAGGAAGAAGGAAAGCTCAAAAAGCAAGAGGCTCATTTTTAAGAACTACAGCAGAATATAGGTCATAGCAGATAACACTTCAGATATGGGTTTATGTTCTTTTATTGTTATACAGAATTTCATTAATAAACATATACAAATTTATGTTTAAACATTTTAATTGTTTATTTCCATTGAACTGGAACCAATTATTTTATTTCCCATTAAAATATCACTTTGAATAGTGCAAATTCAAATAATGTGACCATTTCGTGGAATTCATTAACCACACTAATCGAGCCCTACCTGTATATACCATCATTATAGAAGTGTTTCTGTTTGTCAGAGAATGGTTCTTGGATCCAAGGAATTTGCACACTGTAACTAAAGTTATAACTGTAGCAGGGATATGTGTAACATGCACCTTCCCATCCTTTACTTGAGTTCCACAATCTAGGTATAACTGGATATAGAGTTCCAACAGGGAAACTGGGAGATATCTTCTTTTCAAATGGAATCTGGTTGGGCAGAACAAGGAATTCTCCAGGACTTTTAACCAGGGCCACCAGGTCTAAGCAGTTCGGGAGTATGTGTATTACACAAACCCAAAAGTGGAGTAACAAAGAATAATGTATTTTTATTTTAATAAATGCAATGAAGTAAGTACAGGTAGTCCTCAAGTTACAACAGCAGTTGGGTCCAGAATTTCCATCGCTAAGCGATGTGTCATAAAGCACATCACATGATTGCATCTCTTAGCGATGGCAATCCCTGCAGTCCCCATTACCGTCATTAAGGATTGTGAGTCGTTAAGCTAGCACCTCCTTGCAACTTCCTGCCAGCTTCCAACAACCAAAATCAGTAGGGAAGTCGTCAGGGAGTTGCAAGTCCCAGATGGCTCACAAGCAGGCTTGCAGGCAGGTAAGTGGTGATTGCCAGGTGGGAGGGGATAAGAGGTGGCCAGGGAGGCACAGTGCAAGCATGGCAGGGCTTGGGGTGGCTGCTGCCAGGTAGGGGAGTGTGCGCAAGTAGCTGGGGAGGCATGGTGCAAGCGCAGTGAGGTTCATGGAGGGTGCACAGGTGGGGGAGACTTACCCGAGCAACTTGCAACCTTCCCTGCCAGCTTCCCCACTGACTTTGCTTGTGGGATGCTGACAGGGAAGGTCACAAATCCAATCACATGACTGTGGGATGCTGCAACTGTCATAAGTGCAAGCTGGTTGCCAAACACCCAATCATGATCACATGACTGTGGGAGTGCTGGGACAGCTGGAACTTCGAGGACTGGTTGAAACCACCACTCGTTCAGTGCTGTTGTAACTTCGGTCACTGAATGAGTGGTCGTTAGCCACTATTTTGTTCAGGAAGTCTGCTTCTATAGTTGCTTCTATAATCCTTGCTGCTCTTAGGAACTGCAACCACCCTTGATTCCACCTACTTGCTTCTCATTAGAAAATTATGGTGCCTTTATAAAACTGTGGACTTAACAGAATCACCATCTAAACTGCCGGCTTAAAATAATAAAATGAGATGCATCAAAATTAAATTAAAATATATTGTTTTCAGTACAATGTGGCCATGCATAATTTCAGTTGGATTGGATTTTTTAGGTGGTAGAAACACAGTAATATATAATAATAAATTTGTAAATAAGCGGGACATGTAAATACCTCATCTAATTAATAATTTGTGGGGGGAAAAGAATTTGTGGATTGCTGCATTTTGCTGAATCCAGTTATTTTAAAGTCCTTAGAATTTAAAACAAATTCTAAGGATTTTAAATTCTATTAATTATTCTTGCAAAAGAACAGAATAATTAATAACATTATGCAACTTAAGTGTCAAAAAGTTCAAGTTAATGTTTCTAGAATATTTTGAACATTTTCAGCATTGTTCTAGAAAGCAACATGAAGTATGTCTTTTGAAAGTCTTGTCTAAAAGTATATAATATAAAAATCAATTGCTTTTTTCCAAGAACAGTTATACTGTAAATCAAGAATTTTGCCATGTGATATCTTTAGCTTCCAGCAAGTTACATTTTTAAAAACACATTATGTCAAAATTGACAAACTATATTATGTGCAGTGTATAAAACAAAACAATCCTCTGGCTTTAAAATTACTTGTAGTTTATTTATAAAAGAAATGCCTGTATTTGTATTTATACTACCTGTATTTTGTTTAAATTATATTTTATGGTCTATTGAAAAGTTGGTAAAGGCCAAATATTAAAACTAAAATTATGTTTGGACTTTTGTTATAGGTTGGACACCACTCCATGAAGCTTGTAATGCTGGTTATTATGATGTTGCTAAGGTCTTGATAGCAGCAGGGGCAGATGTAAATACTCAAGGCTTAGATGATGATACACCACTCCATGATTCTGCAAGCAGTGGACATAGAAAAGTAAGTATCATTCATGAAAAAATTAAATACATAATATGTGTTATCTTTAATAATCAAAGCTAACTAAACATAATCTAACAAAGGAATCCTATATACCAATTAGACCCTTGGGTGATTTGTTATCAGCATCATTGGCAAAGACAATGGTGATTATATTATTGCAGATCTCAAAGTATCTATTCAAACAGAGGTTAAAATCATGTGTCATTCACGACCATAATTTTGAAGTACAACATATAATGACACAATACAGTACAGCTCTACTATGCTATCTGTGAAATTACACAATATAGCTCCACAGCGCTGTCTGGGAAAGAAGCATGCAAAGGAAACACAGAATCTTCTTAGGTCAAAATTTCAAGACCATTTATAGAGAAAAAGCTCTTTTAGCAAGTTATGAAGGCAAAAAGCCAGGAAATGCAATGGTGGCAGATGCTGACAGTATGCAGTGTCTGGTACCTCAGTTTATAGGAAAGCAGGGAATGGGAATTTGTTCTACTAAAGGGGAATTGATTGATTATGTGCAATCAAATTGGGGTTGATTCTTAGCAACCACATAGATTTTATCCAGGAGAATCTCCAATAGTGCACCCATCGCCACTATAAGTGAGTCCATCCACCTTGCTGCTTGTTATCTTAGTCTTCTGTTTCCTTCCATCTTTCCCAGCACTTCTCCAGAACACTAGGTCTTCACATAATGTGTCCAAAATATGATAATCTGAGCCTGGCCATTTGTGCCTTAAGTAAGAACTCAAGGGTTGATTTGTTCAATGATCCTTTTTTTTTTTCTTGGCTGTCCATGGCATTCTCCAACACCAAAGTTCAAAAGCGTCAATACTTTTTCTATCATGTTTTGATAAAATATCTGTCTTGGTGACATATCTCAAGTTATGTCAAAGCCTTTTTTTAAAATTAATATTCTGTATGTGTCATGTTTTGACATAATATCTGCTTTGGTAAAGTATCTAAAGTTCTGCCAAGTCCTATTTTTATTCAGCCAGCAGAGCTTGATTATAAGATTGTTATATAAAAAACTTTAAACATTATATGCCAATAAATATTCAGTCTATTTTGTTTATCTTTTTTAATCTACTGCAACTTCAAAAACTGCTTTAGAGTAATCACAGATGGAATGTTCCATATAAGTAGTGTGAGGATTTCAACATTTTTGATTCTATCATGTATTTACATAGTCAGCACACATGGCATTTTTCAGAGTAAGAATGTTAAAAATACAGGTAAATGTTAATGTTTTCAATTTATTTATCTCCTGATGAAACTTTTTTAAAATGGGGTTTTCAGCTGCAATGAACCTAATATTTCAGATTGTAAAATTGCTCCTCCGACATGGTGGTAATCCATTCCAAGCCAATAAACATGGAGAAAGACCTGTTGATGTAGCTGAAACAGAAGAACTAGAACTATTATTGAAAAGAGAAGTTCCTATTTCTGATGATGAAGATGGCTGTTCAGGTCAGAAAAAAATCCTTTTAGTTGTTGGATGATCTGTGTCTATATATACTATGTTTAAATTGTGTAATATTTCAAAATACTAGGACATAGGGGTATGCAAATGGAGTTCTTTGTTCCTAAATTTTGGTATCAAAAGACTTGCAAATTTTAAGTTAACTGAGGGTATTTGACTTGATAAATTGAAAATAGCCTAAGTGGTATATATGTAAGATTTATTAATAAACATTATAAATATGAACTTCAGAAATATTTTGTTATTCCATTTATCTTTCAAACTGTACATATTTTTTTTTCAACTAACTTGCTTGGTGATAGAACAGATAGAATGAGTTTGCTTGATTATTTCAAATGTCTTCAAAAAGTATCCTTCTAGAGAGATACAGAAGTAAGACGACAGATTTTTTACTTTGTAAAATATATAATTATTCCACAGGAGTAGGTTCCTTATACCTGTAGGTCCTAGTTTTTGTTGCTGAAACAGCAGTAGGGATATCAGAGTAAGAGAAATACCTTTTTGGGTCTCCTGTTGTTTCAGCTATTTCTGATATTTGTGTTTCTATTTTTGGTGTGTATATAGAATTATCATTGGTATTATTATTGTATACACCTATCATCTAAACTTGTTGTGGCTTGCAAAAGCATAAAATACAATAAAACATCCATGGCAAGAAAAAAAATGCAATAAATTATGCAAGGTAAGGAAAAATAACATAACTAGATTAAAATGTAAGAAAGATGAATTCATAACCCTAAATAACATATAATACAATTGGTTTTCTGAATTTGCAGTTTATCCCTGGAATTTCCTGTCCAAGTACTATTATACCATGTTAAATATAACACTGTTTTATTATAGTTTTTCTTAAAATAACACATTTCATATTTACTTCTACCTAATTTATACTATAATAATTTGAGCTAATGAAAATGTATGACAAATATGTAAGATTTGATTGCCATTAATAGCAAAGGAATGAACACAGCAGCAACATGTTTTTCTATTCTAGATCTTGATGAAGCACCATCTGTAAATCCTTCCAGCATAGATGGCAATATGGATTCTGAGACAGAGAAGGAATCTCTAGCTAATGACAACAAACATGTTTCTAATAAGACACCTCTTTCATCTGCTCTTGATGAATATGAATTTAAAGATGATGATGATGAAGAAGTTAAGAAAATGATTGATGATAGACATATTCCTCGGAAAGATCTGAGAAAAGAGGATACATCTGAAATAGAACAAAGTAATCTATTTCTTACACAGGAAAAGCTATCATTTCCAAAATCATTTAAAAATAAAAAACAGAAGCCTTCTAGAGTCCTGTATTCAAGTTCTGAAAGCTCAGATGAAGACATTCTTCAAGACAAAAAGATAATGACTCCTTCATGTACTGTTACAGAAATTTCAAATTCTGATGCAAAGATTAAAAAAGAATATGTTTATAATGAATATAAACAAAAAGGAAAAGTTAAAAGAAAACTAAAAAATCAAAGCAAAAATAAAGAGAACCAGCAATTAAAACTAGAAAAAGATAATTCCAGAGTGACAAACCTGGGTGTTTCCATGTTAGAATCTTTAGACAAAAGCAAAGAAGATGATAATTTCCGAAAAACATTTAGCCCAAAGGAAGATTCTTCTTTGCCTTTACTCCATATTACTCCTAGCAGATCTCCTAAACATCCATGTGGCATAAATGAAAAACAGTCTTCAACACCTAAACAAGAAAATGTTAAAACTTGTTTATCTCCAGGAGGGTCTGAGGTAACTTCACAATCTGAATTAATTCGATATGATCATAATGCAGATTCTGATTTTCTTTTGGAAAATTCTAGTGGTAAATCTTACAAGAACAGAGATAAAAGTAAGCATCAGAAAGAATTTATCTTAGAATTTAGTGAGAAATCCAGTCCTAAACTTAAAGAGGAAGATAACAGTCCATTCTTTGAAAATTCTGACTCTATGATGAAGAAGATTGACAAGGAGGGAAAAACACTTAAAAAGCATAAATTGAAGCATAAAGAAAAGGAAAGGGATAAGCATAAAAAGGAGCAGGATGGAGAGAAAGAAAGATATAAGCATAAGGAGAATTCCAAGGATGTCCAAAGGAATGTTGAGTTTGATAGAGAATTTTGGAAAGAGAATTTTTTCAAAAGTGATGAGACAGAAGATATGTCAACTGTAGACCATGACCCTCAAATGTCAGAGAAGAAATCTAAACTGGAAAAGGTCTTAATTAAAGAAGACAAATATGTGAAAGAGAGAAGCTTTCAGAAAGATAAAAATTTTAGAGAGGAAAAAGAGAGAGAAAAAATTAAAAAAGAAAATGACAAGGAAGAGAAAACAAAAGAAGATAGCATATTTATTGATAAAGAAGCGGAATTTTTTTGTTTAGGTGTTAGGGACATAGCAACAAGTATAACTTTTACAGAAAAGGAAGACATTGAGAAACAAGAAAAAAAGGATCATAGAGAAAAAAATGAGAAGCGGAACTCTGCTATTGAAAAAATAGAAAGAAAAAATACAGATAAAGAAAAAAAAATAAAATGTGAACATAAATCAGAAAAAGATAAATCAGACTCTCTTGAAAATGAAAAGACAAAAGAAAAGGAAAAGGTGTATTTTCAACAAGCAGAAAAAACTAATAAAGAACATGATAAATTAAAAAGCTTTAATACTATTAAAAAACTTGATGACAAAGAAAAAATCAAAGAAAGGTTTGAAAAGAAGCATGATAAAGAAAAAAATGATAGATTCTTGTCTGAATGTAAAGAAAAATCCAGCAATGATAAGAAATGCAAGAGTTCTGAAAAGGATGGTGAATATTCAAAAGTGGAGAAAGGAAGAAACAAAGAAAAGGAAATGGAGAAAAAAGAGAAGTCAAAAGAACGGGACAGTTCAGTAACTACAAACATAAAGCAAACAGCGGAAGAGAAAAAATGCAGTAGTGAAAAAACTTTATTCTTAAAAGAGAAGCCAAAGGATGAATTGCTGAAAACTCCTGATGGAAGAGAAAAGGATAAAAAAGATAAAGATATTGACAGATATAAAGAGCGTGACAAATATAAAGATAAAATACAGCAAAATAATGTACCTAAATTAAAATCTGAAACTGAAAAGCTTAAATCTAAACCATTACCAGTGTCTAAAGACACTCGACCTAAAGAAAAGAGATTGTTAAATGATGATTTGATGCAGACAAGCTTTGAAAGAATGCTTAGTCTTAAAGATCTGGAAATTGAACAGTGGCATAGAAAACACAAAGAAAAAATAAAACAGAAAGAAAAAGAAAGATTAAAGAATCGATCCTGTACAGAACTTAACAAAATAAAAGATAAAGACAAAATAAAATATTCACTTACTGAATCAAAGAACAAAGAACTGATTCGTTCAAAAAGCTCAGAGTTATCAGATGCTTCTGGAAAGGATAAGCAGCTAAAGGATGCTACCAGTAGTAGGTCGCAGTCAGTTGATATAAAAAGTTCTGGTGGAAAACCATCCCTAGCATTGGACAATAGCTTAAGTAGGTCTCCTAGATCAGAAAGTGAAAAAACTGGACTAACATCCAGATCAATATCCATGATTTCAATTGCTAGCTCAGAGGATTCTTGCCATGCTACAGTAACTCCTCCAAGACCTGTTATTGAATATGATTCAGATTTTATGCTTGAAGGATCTGATTCTCAAATGTCTTTTTCACATTCACCATTTTTGCCAAGTGCCAAATCACCTGCAAACTATGAGAATGATAGTTTGTCAGAGTTGCCAGAGCGTAATAAAGCACCTATTTTAAACAGACTTCCACCAGCTTATGTTAGATCAGCATCAGTCGAAGATGTGAAATTTGTTATAAATGATTGCAGACCAGTTGTAGAAGTGCGAAGATGCAGTATGCCAGCTGTTTATGAAAATACAAAACAGTCCCGAATATTAGAAGAAAATAGTCACAATACTTTGCTCTCAGTTCAAAGTTATAATTCTTTTCCTAAACATGAATGTTGCAATTTGCTTGAAAAGGATTCCCAGAATGGACTGACCAGCTTGTATTCCAGTTCTGCTTTATCCCCCAGTAGACCTGTTAATAAACTTAATGCATTAGATGCAGTTGGTAAAAACGCTGCTCCTTCAAGCTCATCAGGAGAAAGTCATACACTTTTAGAACATAACAATACAACCCCATCAAGTAAAACATGGGATGTGCCTTTGGATAAATGTATTTCATTAAATAGTGAGTGTTCCTGTTCAACCTATGCAGGCTGTGAGCCTGATACAACAAATGTCTCAGCCATAACTAATTTTGAAAATAAAACTATGAAAGAGCAGAAAAATTCTGAACGTTTTTGTCATCATGCTGAAAGCATATCAAATCCTACATCACAGGATATGGCAGAATTTTTGTCTGTTCAGTCATGTTGCCCTTCTCAGATTCAGCCAAGCACAGATTCAATCTATATGTCAAAGCATGTAGCTTTGTCAGATACAAACAGCCAAGAGCTTCTGATTAAGAACCCACAAAGTTCCATTCAACCTAGCAATTCAATATTAGACATAGATGCTACCAGCAAAAAAAAGATAGAAAAAAATGTCTTCTTGTCAAACAATAAGAAGGCAGATATGTTTATCACAGTTTATCCTGAAAGTGTTACTAAAGATATTTCACAAAATTTTGAAAAGGATTTTGTTGCAAATGATCCTCGCTTACACACTAGTGCAAGTTCATCTGTAGTAAGTAAGCTCATTTATAAAACATCACAAATTGATGAACTAGATCATAGCATAATTGATATTCAGTTCCAAGGTGAAAAAGTCCAGTCCACTGACATCTGTTCATCCCATATGGCTGGTAATAAAAATGACCTAGATCTACAGGATCTAAATGGTAGAGCACTGAAAGGAATTACAAATGAGTACAATAGAAAATTTTTTAATATAGACAGTGCAGAAAACAGTTCAATGGAAGAAAACCTGCAACAGTACCTGTCGTCTAATTTGGAAAGCCATTCACAGTTAACTGGACATGAAGTACATAAATATAGTCCAACTATTAAATCAGAATTGGAAGAAGCTGTAGAAGATCCTAAAGCACAACAGTATGAAATTCCTCAAAGAATTACAAGGAATAGAGCAAATATGCTTGCTAATCAAAGTAAACAGAACCTTTCTGGTTGCTCCCAGATCTCAGAAAGAGATTTTGACTCATCTGCCTCTTTAAAAGGACGAATAAGATTAACTGAGGAAGATGATGCTCAAACACATCATCCACGTAAAAGAAAGCTGTCACGTGTTCCTCAGCCTGTTCAAATAAATCCATCTTTAATGCAAGCTAAAGAAAAAACTCATCAGTCTCTGGCAGCTATTGTAGATTCTCTAAAACTAGAAGAGATTCAGCCATATAGTTCAGAGAGAGCAAATCCATATTTTGAATATTTGCATATAAGGAAGAAAATAGAAGAGAAACGTAAATTACTATGTAGTGTTATTCCTCAAGCACCTCAGTATTATGATGAATATGTAACCTTCAATGGATCGTACCTCCTAGATGGCAATCCCCTGAGCAAGATATGCATTCCAACAGTAAGTAACAGGAAATTTGAGCTACTATAGAATTTATTATTGGCTCTTAGCTATTGCTTTAACAGCTCCATGTCATTGTAAGCTAACAATATCAATGTTTATCTTGCTGTTATGCTCAGTTAGAACATGCAAACATAATCATGTTTTACTCATGCATGCTCCTTTTCCTCCCAACAACAAATATATAGTGTGTGTTATGCAAATAAGGAATTAAAGAGAGATGCCTGGACCACATCATGAAAAAATTACATATGGTACAACCAACTGATCGTGAAGAAAGGGTGCAAAGAAATTGACATGAGTAATATAAGCTTTCGACATTTCTTTTCCAATGTAATGTTCTCATACCAATTTTTATTTACATTATTTGTACAATTAGGAAAGCTATTACAAGGGCATGTTTGCCCTTCTAACATTAACTGAAGTCAGATATAAAATAAAAAGAGGATTACAATGGATTTCTGCCAATTATGCTCTTGAAAAAACAGTTGTGTTTTATTGTTCCTTTTGTTAAAGTTAAGGGTTGATTGAAATGGGAAGAGTATTTGCTGCTTCTTTCTTTTGGAACCATGCGTAACCTGAGTGTACCAGTTCACCAGTCTCTTAATCCCTTATCAGTAGTCCATTGCAATGGGTGGGGTGCCATATGGAGAACAATTAGCCCTTTTATCTGAATATCAATAATTTATTAAGACCTTTATTATAGTAATAAATAGCAACTTATAACTGAAATGTGAATAAAGAATTTTTAAAAGCAGTTATATCATTTGGTAGAAAATAGACCTGGTCTAGGGAAGTGCAACCTTCTTGGTCTTCCTTGACTTCCTAGCAGCTTTCAAACCATTGATTATAGTATCCTTCTGGAGTTGCTCTTTTGTAGTTCTCTTTCTTAAGGAGTCAGTTCCAGGTGTGTATGGGGGAGGGGGGATAAGCAATCTCTCCAGAACTCTGCTCTGTGGAATGCCTCAGGGTTCTCTACTCTCCCCATTTCTCTTTAGCATCTAACTGCTGGGAGGGCTCACCTATCAGCATGGGATCAGGTATCATCAGTATGCTAATTATACCCAATTATATATCTTGGCCCCTCATCAGACAGGTGATACAGGAGAAATCATGACCAAGTACCTGGAGGATGTCAGAGTCTGGATGGGGAGGAACAGACTCAGACTGAACCTTTCCAAGACAGGATGACTTTGGGTCATTGGCTAAATGATTCCAGGGTAGCATCTAGTTCTGAATAGAGTTGTATTCTTCTGCTCAGAGGTGCTCTGCAACATGGGGATGCTCCTGGACTGACAGTTCCTGCTCAGGGAGCAAGTTGCAACTGTCACTAGAAGGGTTTATGCACAGTTACATCTTGTGTACCAGTTCTAGCCATATTAGTGTAACATGCTCTATGTGGGGCTGCCCTTAGAAAGCATTTGGAAGCTATGCCTGGTACAAAATGTGGCAGCCTGGGCAATGATGGGTGTTTCTCATTATACCTGGGTTACCCTGCTGTTTCAGGAGCTGCCCTGGTTTCCAGTTGGCTTCTGGGTGCAATTCAAGGTGCTAGTTGTCAACTTTAAACCCCTACATGGGTCTGGACTGGGTTATGTGAGGGACTGCCTTCTCTTATAGTTACAGTGACTATATGTCCTTTATTATAAAAGAAAGTTCTTTATCTCAGTAAGCTGTCCTTTGGATTTATTTATTTTTCAAAAACTCATTTTTGTCTTTCATTTTGGCCTTTTACTGTACAAATAGTACTTGTACTGTACAAATAGTACCACATTTAACTTTTACCATACAAATAGTACCACATAGCGCACAGTCTTTCACATTCATGTGAAAATATGGAAATTGAATTGTCTTTTTAAATAAATTTACATTTATTGTTTGATTTTAAATATTTTTATTAGAATATGTGTTTTTGTAAAGTTTTTCTTGATTTTGCTCTTGAATTCTCCTTTGTAAAGCAAAGTTATGAACAAAAAGC